ATTTTTTTAATTAAAGAGTTATAAATATTATATTAATATAAAATTAACATGCATAATGTACATAAATTAAACTTTCATTCTAATTATTAATTTTTAAAAATATTAATTAAAAATAAATATTTAGATAAATTCTATATTTTAAAAAATGACCTACATTAGACTAACTATTAAATTTTAAATCTAATATAAATGACCATACTTGTTTGTTAGTAGTCTCGTAAACTCTAATTTAGTGTGTCGGTATCTTTAATTAATGTCTCTCTCTTTTCTCTTCTTCTTCTTCTTCCTTTCTTTTTATATACCATTTTTTCATGGAATTTGGGGCACAATTAATTAATATGAATCGGAAGGGACAATTTCCCCTTTTCATTTTCTTTTATTTCATATAATTTGTCATCACCATCATCATCCCTCTCCATAATTCCACTAGCATGCTAGAAAACATGTGGTGGCCTATATCCAATTATCTCGATTTTTATATTTTCAACAATTGATTATTTTTTACTTATTGTTTTCAAATTTTATTTTTAAAAAAATTAAAACATCTTAACATTTGACTCTAAAATTATTTAAATATTTTTAATAAATTTTTCTTATATGTTAATTTACCAAAATATTTAAATATTTTTTATTACTTATATTGTAATTATCCAAAAAAGATTAATTATTCACCATTCCTATATCATTTTTTTTTATCTTGGTTGCACAATGAAAAACAATCATTTCTTATCTCTTATCTCATCTCACTTGCATGTCATACGACTCGAATTCAGAATCTTTTACTTCTAACGGAATGAGATAACTACTAAATTATTTATGTCGTTGGCATTTACTTTATCAAATTAAAATGTGTAATTAACCAAGTAACCATATAAGAGTTACTCCATATATAGCTTTAATTCTATTACCAAACAAAAAATATACATACACAGCATATATGGGGAAAATGAAAATCAAAATGTTTTGATATTTTAAATGTAAAAATATTTAATTATAATCACTAAATATATGAAATATAACATAAAATTTAATTTTATCAAATTTATTACATAATTATTATTATACAATAAGATATATTTTTTTTTGTGAACCTGCTTACATTTGGCGCACTCTAACTTTTGAGTTAGGTGCACCTTACAATTTAATTTATAAATGTTGGGTTATGAGACATAGATACATACAATAAGATATTTAAATGTCACAACCTCCTAATTTTTTATTTTTTTCATTATCATACATGTTTTGGTCATTAAATTTGTAATGTTGGTGCAACGAGAGGACAAGTGGCCTCCAAAGAACAATAATGTGATATTCTTGTTTAGATTTCCCGTTGACATTGTTATGATATGAATATATGAGTTATAAAATCTAAAAATTTTAAATATTCAAAAATTTATTTGGTTGGAGAAAAATGAAGAGAATAAGAAAGAAATTTCTTTTATTCAATTAAATTAAAATGTTGATACATAAAATAGTGAGACTTCTTTATGTTTTTTTCTTTTCTTTTCTTTTGCTTTTCGATGCATTGTTCCCTCTTTTTAAAGCCGATCCTGAAAAAGAAACCCAATGTTGGAGTCCATGGGTAGGTTGCAGACCCAAATTCTAGCTAATTCTGATTCAACCCAATGTCTCTGGACCCTGGAGTTGGGTTTGTGTTTCCAGAACGGTCCCAAATCAAAAACTGCTACCACGGCCCAGTAGGCAACTTAATAACATATTTAGTTGGAGGGAAAAGGAGAAGGGTATTTTTTTAATTAATTAAATTATAATATTTTAATATTATAATTTGTTTAATAAAAGAATTCATCACTCTTCTCTATTTCCCTTGAAACCAAATATAGTATAAGAGACATACTATGGCTTGAAGAGCTAAAAATAAAATTACCACCAAGATAATTACTTTATATATATAGAGAGAGAGTACGAGACAATATACAATTATAACTCAAAATAAGTAATGATAAACTTATAGTTGTATCTGAGATTATTATGAACTGCCATGGGTGTAGTTCTTTTAAATATTTTATTATAAAAAAAGTTATGTTATTATTTAATAATTACTTTAAAAAATTTTATGCATTTAATATAATCACTAAATTATATAAAAGATTAATTAAAATTAATTTAATTATAATAAATTAATACTATTATAAGATTCTGTGCAAAAAAACATGGTAGGAAAATAACCCAAATACAATCTATGTTGGTGTAAGTTTAAAAAATTATTATACAAATTTTCTACCATATATTTTAAAAACTAAGGGGCTGTTTTTGAAAATTTAAGTGTTATATTCATTATTGAAAATTTAAAATAAATAACTAAAAATTAGTAGGACAGTTACACCTATGTAAATTAATCTTTTAGAAAAAAAAAACTCACAATATATTTGATTTGAATAAACGAATAGAGGAAGAGAGAATAAATAATTTTTTAATAATTAAATTATATTATTGGTCAATATTATAATTTAATTAATTAAAAAATTTATTTATCCTCTTTTTCATTTCTCTCCAACCAAGCCATGCCCTTAAGTAGTATATTCCTAGAAAATAAAATCTAAATGTGGTTATAACTATACACTTAATTGATAAGCTACACATAAATTAATATTCATTTTAATTAATAATATTTAAAAAATTGATCTTTTGACTTTTTTTTTTAAGAATATAAGTTAAGAATATTTTTTTTGTATTAATTATTATTGAAAATATAAAATTTAACATTTATTTAATTAATTATCTAATTAAAATAATACATATAACATTAATAATAAAATTAATCTCAATTTTTATTATTTTTTATATTAATTAATATAAAAAATATATTAATTACTTCATTAATTTATATTTTAAAAATATAAATTAGATAAACCCATTTACAAACTTGTGTCACCATAACATTATAACACGTCGTGATACCCATGCCCAAAATATGTATTTTATGAAGTGCCGGTGATTTTGTTTTTTAAAACGATGGGGAATTTGAGCGAGAGAATATTTTTTCAAAACATTTTAAATACTTAAGAATTTTTTGTTTTTTATTTTAATTACATAACAATGGTGAATTATTTTTTATCTTTTATCGTACTATATTCATATATCACACTATTTGAATTTAAAATTTTTTATTTTTAATGAAAAAAATAATTATTAATTTATTTATATATTTAAGATTTAAAAATAAATAATTAAATTAAAAGATGCAACCCTGCCGGTGATTTTGTTGAGTCACAGAGTCCACACAAAGCTGCCACGCCATGATTAAATAAAGATGTTTGACTTCGACCGTAAGTTGTGTGTACGGATTATGGGGTGATCGGGGTGATCAGGATTCGGGTTATAGCAGATCATCAATGATCAAACGTCAAATTAGACCTTTTTTCGGTTTTGACATTTGCCTACTACGCTACACCAACCAGATCATGAACTATACAAAAGTAAAAAGGAGACAACACCGCAAACGTCACGGAATCTTCCTCTACTGTGCGCCGCACACTCCGAAGACTTCATACGAGTTTGGAAGCATCGGATCCGTACACTCGTCTCTCGCAAGATCCACAGTTTCATATTTTATTATTTCATATGATATAATAAAATAAGAATCATTCGGAGAGATAGAAGTTTAATATCAGATGCCTATTTATTATTTAATGATAAATATTAGAAGTTAGTGAATATTTGTCTTTTTTTAAAAAATAATTAAAATTTTAATTTATATTTAAAAATTAAAATTTCATGTTACTAAATATTAAAATTTAAATTTGAGAATTTATTATATATTTTAATATATCAATATTTAATAAAATAATTTTTAAATTTTAAATTAAATTTTAATTAAATAAAATAACATAATTTAAAATTGATACTCTAATTATTTTTTGGAGTTAGAATTGATATGTATTTTTTTAAAATATTATATAATTTAATATAATTCAAATTATATAATATTTTTTTGTTGTTTTATATATATATAAAGAAAAAAAATATTTTAGCTTTAAAAATATCAATATATTCAATAATAATTATATAATAAATTTAATAAACTTAGGGCTCATAATATATTTCAAATATTTAATAATTATGATTGAATATGTTCTAACATTTTAAATACCATGAAATCCTAATTTTCTCTTTCCTTATATATATAATAAAGATTTATTTATAAACAAATTTTATACACTATATTATATAAAATCTCAACTATTTATCTTTTCATATTCAATGATTAAGATTTATTTATATTTATTAAAAATAATTATTTTTTATTTAAAAATTATAATAAATCTCAATTATTAAAAATAAATATATATATATATAAGTAAAATTTAAATTTTACACGTTATCTTTACATAAAATCTCAACAACTCGTTTCTTAAATTTTAATAATTGAGATTTATTTATTTGTTATCATATTCATTAAAAATAATTTCTCTTTTCATCTTAACCTTTTGGACCGAACTATGATTTTAACTACACTTAACTTTATAGACCATTTGGTTAACAAGTGCATTTCCCAGCTCATAAGTACGGTCTAAACCCTTCCCCTACTCCCAAATTACCCTTACTAAAAAAATAAAAAAATTAAAAAAAAAAAAAAAAGGAAGAAGAAAAAACCTATCATTTTAACTTTATCCACATTACAAATTATTGATTCAACTCATTGATACGCCTGTTCTTAGCAATGTCCACATAATAAAACATCAACAAGAGAGTTAAAAATTGGATCTACCATTTTTTTTTTTTTCATGATCAGGATATCTACTATTTTTTGAAGCACTTAATTACTTATCCTTTTTATTTTTTGTGTTTGATTGTGAGATACACAATAGACACAATAAAAGATTATATTGAATATATTTTTTTTTAAGTCCCCTTCAATTTTAAGTTCAAATTTGAGACTTTAAACTTGATAACATAATTTTAATCTAAAATATTCAATCATTAGATATTAATTAGTTATTAACCATTTTGTGTTCCAAACAACAAAACTAAAGCAAATAAAACTTTATTTTCAAAATATTGGGTGTCATAGGGAGTTATTATCTGCTTGCCTCCGGTAGTAATTATAAATGGTTTTTGTACTTCTTCTGTTCAATAATTTTACCCAATAACAAGCATTAAGCTCCGTAGTTTGTAATAAAGCCATTGGATGGAGCTTATTTCGTTCTCATTTTTAGTTTGTGTAACCTTAAGCATATATTAAAAAAATAATAATTATGAGACTTCCCCATAAGATTATATTGTAAATTAATGAATTAACCCTAATATTTTAAAGGTCCTTTCACCAAATAATAACATCTACAAAAGTTGTTTGAGTAAGTTTTTTGGCATAACCATGCATCCCACGTAAATAATTAATTTTACATAAATTAATTATTAAAAATGATCAAATTCCTTTCCTTAACAACAAAATTTTACTTGAAAAACATCTTTTAACCTTATACGTCTAGTAATATTTAGAAGCTGAAAATAAATTATGGAACCTTTTTACAAAAAAAAAAAGTTTCTGTTTTTCCAACTTTAACTTTTCTAACAATTGTTTTTCCAAAGTGGGTCATACTGCCAATTCGACACTTGCTTCCAAATAGAAAATGAGAAGTCCATTCCTGTAATATATATATATATATATAAGAAGTTAATGTGTGTCTTTAAAAGTATTTTTTATCATAAATATATAAAAAAATAAAAATTATCATAAATATAAAAAAATAAAAATTAACATTAATTTAATTTTAGTATTAAATAGATAAATTTAATTGAATAATTAATAAATTAATTATTAAATTTAATTTTTTTAATATAAATTCATGATAAAAATATATATTTATTAGATACATAAATTTAAAAAATTTTAAATAATAATAATAATAATAAATCAAGACGTCCTAACATTTTTAATGCCATGATGTTTGATAATAATTACATGATGAATTTAATAAAGTTATAACTCATACTATACCTTATGGATTTAACAATTGTGATTGGACGTTTTAACATTTTTAATATCAAGATATCTTGATTTTTCTTTTTCTCATAATAATAATAATACCTTATTTCCATTTATTGCTACTACCTACCTCAGATCGGTTTTCAGAAAAATACAAACATGGTAAAATATATATATATAACATGTGTTATAAGAGTATATATTTTTAACAAATTTATATAAAAAATGTAAAAATTGATATTAATTTTAGTATTATTATCACAGGTATAAATTTAATTAAATAATTAATAAATTAAAAATCAATTTTTATTTTTTTAACATAAATTTATAATAAAAATATATTTATTACAATCTTAATTTATACTCTACAATATGAGAAAAAGTGAAAACCCCTATATATAAATCAAGAGGTGCTAGTATTTAAAATGTCAAGAATACTTATAAAATTATTTAAATATTTTTAATAGATCTTCTATAATAACTTGTTTGATTTAAAAGAAGAAAATGGAGGTAGAGAAATTTTTTTATTTGGATAACAAAAAATTTAAGGAAATGTGAGGGGTTTTTCCCTTATTACTTCCTTCATCTTAAAATAATAGATATTTTTTAGTTTTATCTTTCTAGTAAGAATTTGGAGACAATTTTTTTTTTACTCATATTACTCCTAAAAAAAGAAATTAAAATAAAATGACTTAATCACAATAGCATGAATAATTAAAATAAAAAATAATTATAAAGTTAAAGTATAAAAAATTCTCCCTTAAAATGTAAAAAAATAATTATTCTTCTGAAATAAATTTTAAATTAAAAAAGCTTGTTATTCTCGAACGGATTGATTTTTTTTTTTCGCAAGCAAAGTTTTTTCTTACTTTACTTTTTAAAATTTTTAGGATAGATGGAAAACCAAATTTAAGAAATAATTAAACGGTTAAAATAGAAAATAAAAAATTCTCCCTTAAAATATAAAAAAAATAATTATTATTCTGAAATAAATTTTAAATTAAAAAAGCTTGTTATTCTCGAACGGATTGATTTTTTTTTTTCGCAAGCAAAGTTTTTTCTTACTTTACTTTTTTATATTTTAATCTAAAGAAACAAGGAGTAAATGTTATTCATTAAAAATATTTAAATGTTTTCATTATAAGACTTAAT